ATAATATATATAACTTTGTATTTCTCTAGCAAACACCTATATCTCTTCCATTTTCGAGTGCGACATTTCTTCGAACTCAATGTTCACCATTTACGACTAATGTCGTAAAATCCCCAATATCATCACGTGCACCTGTTATACTTCGTTCAACTGGTAGTCATCGTTTACAATCATGGCATTCATGGCCAGGTGTTGAATTAAATGATGATGAGCAATTTTGGAAATTAAGCAATGATAGCGAAAATATTCTCTTTTAAATATTATAAAAGCAATTAGAAGACAGAGCGAGAGATTGATAGGTAGTTTGAGTGCTGTGCTCCCATGATGTCTTTTCTATTTTCAAAACATCATATTCTTCATATTCACTCAAATGCTCATACACATTGGGGTTCTCCTTTATTTCTATTGTCACTCCTAATTACTAATCAGCCACTGTTGCTGCTGCTGCTCGAACAATTTAAAATATCTTGGTATATATTTTTTTTTCATTTGTCGCTTTGCACATACATCTACATAATATTTATTCAATCGTTTATCTTCTACATTGTTTTCTCTTTTTTTTTTCTCATTCTTCATTCATTTCTTATTTCTAAAACTAATTATTTACAAATGATGGTTCCATTTTTTTGTTCTATGGTTTTTTTTTAGGAACTCGACGAAAAATTTGCACGTGAAACATTAAAACAGCGAGACTTTTATTTTGATACTCCACCAACATCAAATTTTGGAACATTGAATTAAATATAAATTAAAAAAAACCGAGGAAATATTTCTGCAATTTATTTATGCAGTACTTTTAGCTTATTGAATTTACTCATATGTTTTTTTCTTGGTTTCGTTTCTTTTTTTTTTATATTTCATCTACAACTTGTCCATGAATTCTTTTTTTCTTGTCCACTGAGCCAAAGACTTTTTCGCTTTGTGTATATCCTTATCCGTCCTTGTTTGTAATCAAAAAAACAAGAACAACATACAAAATGTATATTGTTCAAAAAAACTTTTTCTGTTCTTTTTTTTTGTATTTATTTGCCTTTTGAAAATTGGTTAATGGGCTATTGTGAATTACTTGCATGAATCTATTTCGACTTGAACAATACATCAGTTTTTCTCTTTTTTGTTTGTTCGACTCATTTTGTCAGATAAGTCTGCATTCATTTCATATTTTTGTTCATTGTTATTTCAACATATTTATGTCTCTATCATTATTGACTACCATTCTTTGTCTTTTTTGTTATTATTATTCTTCCATATTGCTCATTCCATTGACGAAAGTAGAACGACTTCATATATATATATATACTACTCTCTGGGCATTATTTTTTCTTTTGTGACGACAGTGATATGTTTAACGCCACCGCCGCCACTTTTTTTGACCACCGCTTCGCTTATGCTTCAGTGGCATTTGTTCTTTTTTTTGTGCGCTTAAAAGCTAAAGAAAATTTCACAAAATAAAATTCTAGATTGACGAAAACAAAATGCAATATATTCGAATTTCCTTTCTTTTTTATAATTTAGATAAATGTTTACAATTAACACAACACTTGGCATTAGTTGGGCGATTTTATCTTTTGGATTTTTTCTATTTTTTCGTTATTTAATACATCCATTAACTTATGTTCGACTATCAATAAATAAACAAAATAATTCTACAATATCATCACCATATATTCGAACATGGTTAACATATCCAGATGAAGAACGATGGCAACGATTAAATTTATTAATTAGTTTGTTACATGCTTTCATAACCGGTGTATTGGTTCTATATAGTTTTTATGTATATCCTGAATTACGTCATGATTTTGTTAGACATGTTAATTTTGTTACATATTTAACATGTTCATTATCATTCGGTATGTAAAATAAATGAACTAATTAATGAATATTTTTTACTATAATTTATTTATTTTAGGTTATTTTTGTTATGATTTATGTGACATTGTATCAAATAGAAGAGGATTAGATTTATTTGAAATAATATTACATCATATTGTCGTAAGTTTCTTTTCTCATAATATAAATTCATGTGATTTGAATCAAAATGATTTTGAAATTTGTTGAAAAAGAAAAAACTGTTCCTTGATTAAAAATAAAAAAGAAAGAAAAACATCGACCTTGAGGATGTCCTTCGCTTTGAAATCAAGGAGACTCCAAGAAAACAAAACAAAGAAAAAAAGAACATCTATGTTTGACATAAGTAAACAAGTCGGCATAGAATGGATCTTTATCGAACATGAGCATATGATGTCAATACTACACTTAGATAAGATATTTAGAGGCCACTACGTCCATATGTGACTATATGGTCCATTGTAATTGCAACTTGTCCAACAAAATAAAAACAAAAACAATGATGATTGTGTTTAATTACTTTGTTCTATAATTATATATCATCAATGAAGAGCAATTATTAATCAATATTGAGATTGTGCAGCGAGATAGTTGGACTTTCTCTTTCTAATTGCATGACACAATAGAAAAGCATATTATGATTAACAATGGATGAGGAGAACAAAAGTTAAGAGTAATCTAATCTTTCCTCCCATTGTTTTTTTTTTTGATTGTTTATGGTTATCAAAGACAGTACAAACGATCAATATAAAATTTTTACCTCATATACAGCATCAAAATAAGAAAACATGAGTGCGTGGATAAAATTTTCAACTGAACTTCTGCGGTTTTTCATACAGCCGCACATTTGTATAGTACGACTAGATATGCGTATGACCTGAACTACGAGAAAGAAATTTGCCAGGACGGAAACTAAAGTTTATAGTAAAATATTCTTTGATTTAAAGCAAATTATCTTATAAATCATATAAATTAGAACATCATTCACATTCTATACATCCGAATAGGAAAGTCAAAAATGAAAATGGATGATTTTACGCTTGGAGAAAACTTTCAAGTATCATTAGTAAACATTTCAACTTGATTGAACAAAGTTAGATGTGAATTATAAGCTATTAGGTATGCCGTCCTATGGAAAACCAGGGTTTACCAGAAACAATCGCAAAAATTTAGTTCAAATTCTTTTTTTCCTTGAAAATGTGTTTATTTCTTTTTTGGTAGTCTATCTGTGGTGAGAATTTCAGCTTGATAGTCTATGACGTCTTCGAGAATCAAAAAGGGTAAAACAAAACACGAGAAAGAGTATTCTTAAGGCATTTTCTATTTGACCTTTCTTCTTACAGAGCATGAATTACTGTGATTATGATTTCTTCATCACGAAATTAGCAAAAGTCACATTCTGTTTCCGATTATAGTCCTTCGAAGATTCTATTGACATATAGAATTCTAGTTGAAAAATCTAAAATTTTAATTGAATATTTCCCTTTGCGATGTTTCTCTGTCAATATTTGAATATATGAAAATTTTTGTTCTAATCCTTTTGTTGTTCTTTTTAGACATTGATATTTTTTGGTTTAAACATAGTTCGTGTATTAAATGTTGGTTATCAAATGTTTGCGTTATTAGCTGAAGTAAATTCAATATTTTTACATGCTCGAAAACTTTTTCAACTTTTTAATGTTCCACGTGAGATTTTTTTTGTTCGATTAAATATGCTTCTAAATATTCTAACATTCTTTCTATGTCGTTTATGTATGTTATTTTTTGTTACAATTTTCGTTTATTATGATCGTTATCGTGTAGGAGATTTTTATTATTTATTTGTAACAATTATTCTTATTCCAGTTATGTGGATAATAAATCCAATACTCTTTTATCGTGTGTTGTATACTGATTTTCTAAAAAGATATAAGTCACGTAAATTAATGTCATAAAAAAAGAAATGAGTCAACTTTTTGAGAATCTCTTTTTTTTTTGTATATCTGTTCTCATTCTAATTGTCATTTATATGTATTTTTTTCAGTGCTCTATTTGTACATGAAATTCTAATAGTATTGATGTAAAATTTCTTTTTTTTTTTGTCTTTTGTCTTTTTTTGCTAAACACCAACTAAATAAATAAATGTATGAATCCTCTATAATCATCACTCAGCTTCTTTTTAGGTCAGACAGAAACAGAAAATTATTTGAATGCAGTGAAAAAATACAAGTACTTGACGTCAGTTTTTGTATATTATATATAATCAATCAGCCGTATGACAGACATAATATCTGATCATAATAATCACGCATTTTTACAATATAATACCTAGTGGCGAGTAACCACTGTCTAAGCAGCATAATATATTATTTATATTCATATTAGAAATGTATACAATTTATGAAAAGTGACATGAGAAAGGTTGCAGAAAACTTGAAGAATGTAAATGTAATACTGGTATCTTTTAAATAATATGTGCATTTTTTTCATCATTAATGTTTTTTTTGTGTTTTTGAATAAAATAATAATGATTGACATGAATAGAATAGCGATACACATCGTTCTGTTTACTACTCATGCATCGAAGAGAAAAATAACTAAAGATTAAAATGATGCATACACTATTTCAAGTTAAATATTTCATTTGATAAATAGTAGTTCATGTATATTAGTTGATATTGTTTTATATAAAATCGAAAAATATCTCTTTATTGATAAGATTCAAAATACCTTTACAAAATAAGCAAGAGTACAGATATGTTGTTCTTTTTTTTTCTATTAGATTTTCAGATCTAATTGAGTTAAACAAAGTCCTATTTCTTTTGAAATTAATTACAGGTAAATATGCTATCTAATACGACCTTTGTATTTTTTTCCCTTGTTTCTATTATTTTCTTTTGCATTTGAAAATATCAATCATCAGATAGAAGTAGAATAATTTTGTACAGGTAAATAAACAAATCACAAGCGCACAGACATATATCACAGTTATGGTGTGCATATTAGAAGTAATTCAAGGTGTTTTTTTGTCCATACATACATATGTACTGCATATATTATACATGTGCTCCATTCTCTTGTGTTTGCTTTTAATACTCTCACCCATCATTATATAAGCAAGGACACGCGTGAGAGACAAGTATCTATTTTATTGCTTTTGTGAAAAAAGAATGCATCAAACACCAATAGTATCTCATGGATTTAATCACCAATCTTTTTATCGTCAACCAATATCGAATTTGAGACAAATTCATGAAGTTGTATCGAATCGAAACAATGAAACTCAACATATAGATAATGTTACACCAAGCTCATTTCCTTCTATCTCGAATCAGCAACCTATTTTCGAGCATATGAACCTCGAAAAAGAAATTAAATCACCATTAAATGATAATATACAACAACAAATTGAACTTAACCGAGACTCACAAGACTTTCAACAACGTTTGAAAAAACTGATGATTAATAATCAAGAAAGTGGTTTCGCAAAGGACTTATTAGGAGCCAGTAAAACTAATAATACTGTTAAACGACGTATGTATCTATTTTACATTTATCTTTTTATTCATATCATGCTTTGTTTTTAAGAGTCTAGAAGTACAGGTAAGCCATCCAACGTAAATCAAAACCGACTTTTATCTAGACAAACTAGTCTAGAACTTAAACCTAATACTGATAATATCTCGCCACAAGGTTCAACATCATTAGCTAATTCATATTCAGCTGGTGATTTATATGATTCGATTCGGCGAGAACGAAAAGCTCATACAATGGCTCCGTCAACTCGAATATCAGGACCGATTTCTGCTGTAAAATCAAATATGTTTGCCAAAATTGCTGCTCCAATTGATTCTCAAGCAATGAAATCGTCTTCTTTAACACAACCAATATCTAACGAAACATTGAATTTTTATTCTCAGCCAGGTGTTGAAATGAATGGTGTTGTTAACGACGGCTATGGACCAGACGAAGATGATAATGCGCCAATCATTGTGAAAGTTCGTTATGACCCGGAAACTGGTGAACCACCATCTGAAGAAGCTATTCGACAAATGATAAACAATAGATTACAAGGACAGCCTAATGGAAACTTCAATAATGATCCAATTGTTCTTAATTTTACGGATAATACTATTAGATCTTCAACTTCGCAAGAATCAACTAGACCAGAACAGCTATATTTTAATCAATCTCCTCTAACTGCTCCATCACAAGTCAATCATCCAAATATTCGAATGCCTTCTCCTTCACAACAACAGTATCAGCAGCAAAACTTACAATTATTACACCGACAGCATCCGCAACAATTCGTGCAACAACAGCAACAATTCGTGCAACAACAGCAACAATTTCAGTTACAACAAAAGCGACAACAACAACTTCAATTGCAACAAAAGCAACAACAACAATTGCAGTTACAACAAAGACAAAAGCAACAACAACAACAACGGCAACTACAACTACAACAATATCAACTACAACAAAAGGAACAACTACAACGACAACAATTACAAATACGACAAAGAGAACAATTTCAACAACGACTACAGCAACAAAAAGAACAACAGCAAGTGCAACTGCAACGAAAAGAACAAGTACAACGGCTACGACAAGAACTTTTACTACAACAACAAAAGCAAAAACAACAGTTACAACAATTCCTACAACAACAAAATGAACGAAAACAACAAATTTTACAAACAGAGGAACAACAGAGGTATCGACAACTATTGCAAAAACAACAAGAATTACGTCAACGGCAGCAACAAACTTTTCAACAAAAACATCGAAATCCGTCTCTTCCGCCAATGGGTCCACGACCGTCACGAACCACTGGTCCTATTCGACCTATGTTTATTAATCAGCCATCTGCTATATTCCCGCAAAACAAAAACATTCGTCCAATACAACCAATTCCAATTCTTCCAATGCCTGTAAAAACTTCAGACAATATCTCAACCATTAATATACAACGATTACCTTATCGAAATTTCAGCTCAACACAACCTAATAGTCCAATATCATCAGGTTTTCATTTTCGCTTAGAATTTTTTTCTTTATTCTTAATCTATATCTAGAAAGCAATCAATTAATAAAATAATTCATTAATCATTTTATTATTTGATTTTAGACATGGGTGCATTCGAGAATTATTCTCGTAAACAGACACCAAGTCTGTTTATACCAATTAATTTCGGAATGCCTAATGAGCCACAATCAATACCAATAAGCAAGTCTACCAGTCCCTTTGTTTCACCATACTCATTACAAAGGCCATATACTGCACCTAGTTCTTCTGAAATGTATCGACCATCATCAGCACTCGACATACCTGAATTAAGTCAAGAAAATCTCCGTGATATGCTTAAGTAAGTATAAATTTAAAGAACCAAAAATTAACAACTCTTTGAATCTGTCTTATTATTAAAGTCAAATTCCTGATTTACATGGACGTCAATTTCATATTGAGTATATGGAACCGACTGATCCTGATGGCTATCCAGTTCCATCACCATTGGATCACAATAATGATAAATATCCTGTACCTGTTTTTGTAGATCAATTGCCAAACAATATTATTCAGCATGTAAGAAGTAGTAATAATCTTGCACTTCAAGCTGCATTAGATCCAGCTGGTCAAGCAGAAAAAAATTTTCAACTTATCGATCAACCTCAAAGAATCGTACCAATGTTAAATGGACACTCATCAACACTATTAAATCATAATGCACGACCTAAACAAAACGTACAACGATATAGATCGCTATCGTTATATAGTTCAGATAATATTACTGACACATATACATATGAAAAAGTTCTGAAACTGAATAAATACCAATAGTTTTATCATCACAGTAACTAAGATTCATTTTTTCTTAAATTTTCTTATATTTTCTTATTTATATTTAGACATTGAATTAGACTTTTATTTGTTGAACTAATTTTGTTAAAATCATAGGCTCAATGACGATTTGGTTAAATTAACTCGGATAATTCGGTTATTTTTATTGTCTTACCATTATTTTATATTTCTTCTTTTTTATTAATTATTTCTTTTTCTAGTACAATATCACGAATTTTCAAAATTGGATTCGATAACTTCTTTCTTTTTTTTTCATTTTTTCTGATATTGGAAACACTCTTATAATTCTGAAAACAAACTTTTTTAATAATAATTATAGATCAATACAGAACATTGGATTTTAAGTTGATTGTTATCTAATTTACTTCAATACGAAATCAATGTAACATTCAATGTACAGGTCTTGACACAAATATCCAAAAAAAAAATGTTAAAATAACAATTCATGAAAATAAATTTCTAACACATGTAATATGGCGCAAGCACAATCTCTACAATAATATGAGCAAAAGCAAAGTTAAAATAAATTATCAGATATACTTTGCAAAATTTTATTTGTGTCCATATTTCGAGAAAACTGTATATAACAGGATAGTCAAGGAAATATAAGGATTCAAAATATCGATAAGATTATGTTGCAAAGACATAGTTGGTCGTTGTCTTCTACGAATAAATTGAAAGTAAAAAGCCAAATGAATCCCATCATCAAGTCTTTCTCTGATTTTAATTTTTTGACACAAGAAAAACTAGGTCCCTAGACTAAAAGGAAAGGGTCTAGAAACGAAAATTCACCTGTGTGCCTATCTGTAACATAATTACTATATGATAGCTATAATACGCATGATTGTATAGAATAAGAAAAAAGGGTACCTATGCAATAGAAATCAACGTAACCGAGAAGTATCATCTCAGGACAAAAAGGACGAAATCTGTATACACAATATATTTCATCGTGATTTGGTTTGTTACATGACTCAGTACTACGATTGTATACCTCCGTATCACATACAGAGGAATACGAGTGTAACACAGAATAAGATAATACGTTAATATACAATAATATACGATTGTTTACGAGTATACTTATTTGATATGAGATGCTTTTAGAAATGATAATTATCGTTATTAAACTATTGAATGATTCAATCGATTGTTCGGTCGTATATGCATGAGGACGTGACGTAATAATTATCAACAGTTAGAGAGTGAATCTATACATAAGATTGTGAGAAACTAAAATCGCATTATTTGAAGTTTTCTTTTTGTAATAAAAATAACACTAATATAACTAATTGCAAAATATCGATGTTATCCTTATAAATCAATACGTATGCATATGGCATAAGTTTTATTTCAAACATAAAGAAGATACAGAATATTATGAATGATGAAAAACTGAATCGTTCATTAATTTCAATTTTTTTTAAACTTAAACGATTGAAGCTTCGAGAATAAAACCAATATGCTACTATTTGTAACCGCAAATCATAGATAGAATTTCACAATTCGACATATATCCATATATAATTAAAAACAAAATTCATTCGTGGTACTCAATTATCATTTGAAATTGAAGATGAAGTCTTAAGAAAAATATTAAGCTTGAGTGCAATGATTGAAAAATTTAACGAAGTTTCTATAGAATAATCAAAAACATTGTATATATAAACTAAATTTAATAAGATAAGTGTAACATTTGGAAAATCGATTTTTCTTGATAAACATTAAAAAAAAGTTTTTCGAAAAAATTGTTTCTGTGAAACAATTCGCTGTTATTTATCCAGTTACCTATTGCATTTATTGAGTACTTTACTTAATACACCTTTATATCTAGATATGCCCATATGCATATCTGTATCGCATCAGTCCTTGATCAAGTGAATCGAATCTCGATGAATGTTATTTGTTATAGTTACCAAATCCTTTATTACTAGAAGCTAAAAACTAAAGCCTGACACTATTTTTTTTTCAGAAATGTGTTTTGCGTATAATATAAAGTTCTAAAGAAAAGAAATAAAACATGTTTTCGATTTTTCCAATAAGACATTTGTTTGCTCAAGTTATAGCACGTACTGTTCCGTTGCATATTGTTTATGCTTTATTCAAATATTGAAAAAAAGAAAATCTCACATAAAAACAAATAAACGTAATGATTTATTCAAGATATTTGTTGATAATTATACTTATAAAATTCTAGAGATTAGTTCATTTTATTTCGTACATCTCTATTTGAAATAATAAAAATATCATTGAAAAAGAATTATGATTAACAATCTATTGAATTTATATAAAATTGTAGGCGGTAATAGATGTCATCAACATCTTGTTTTTCTATTTATGCTGCTTGAAATTTAAAAATAGACGATCTTCAATTTTTAACTAAGCATTGTTTCCTCTCTTCTGGAAAATTTTTGAATGGAAAAAGACGGCAAAGAACAACTGATATTTTCATCAGGAAACGATAATTTGCCAGCAAAAAAAAAAGTAAAAATTAAACTTCATCGTTAATAATAAAAACTCATTTGGAATATTTTTTTTTATTTTCTTTTCTTCTGTAGAATCATTATTGAACAAAGGCGACGAGAAGTTCTTTTTTTCCTTTCTATTTGCGCTCAACGATCATGTTTCATGCATTTATTTATTTTTCTTGACATAAACTAGATATACTAAAAAAGAGAGTACAAGAAAATCAAGAAATATTGTTCATTTCGACAGCAATTCACTTGAAATTTACATCAATCGGTATGGGTAATAACAACAGTACGATTAATATAACACTTGATCGACCACAACCAACTATTTACTATAGTGGAGATATTATATCAGGTCAAGTTAAATTTACAGTTTCAGAACATACAGATACAATTCATGATATTTATTTAACAATTACTGGTGATGTTGGTTACACAACAATGCGTACGACTCGCATGCAAAATGGACAAACAGAACGAATTGTTGATCATCATGATATAAGATTTTTCGGAGAAAAGGTAGTAATAGGTCAAGTAATATCTAGTCAACAAGGACAAGCTGGTGGAAGAATAAATGATCGAACAACTTTTGAACCAGGTCAATATATGCATCCGTTTTCTATTCGTTTACCTGATACATTACCTCCAACATTACATCCAATTGATTATCCATTTGTTCGTTATGAATTACAGGTAGAAATTAGCCAAAAAAAAAACTATAAAACAAAAAGCTTTTTTTTATTTTCTTTTTTTTCAACTATAAAATGAAAAGCTTCTTATTGAAAAAAAATGGTATTGTTCAAATATTCATTATCGTCATCCACTTCGTATTTATCCTCGAGTAAATCTTCTTCAAATAAGTAATTCTCAATGTGCCGTCAAATTTGATTCAAAACGTAAAGATATTACAATTAAAGGTATTATGCAACATTCTGGTCTTGTACCTGGTGAACAAACAATTCTCTCTCTTGAAATCTATAATCCAAATCATTTAACAATTAAACGTATTGATATATGTCTTATTCAACGTTATACAATTGAACAATGTCGACGTCGCTTAGAACTTATTCGTTTTTCTGTTCCTCAATTATTTAATTTAAATGACGAATATATTAAAACTTCATGTCCAATTAAAATTCCAATGTATATTTCACCATCATACAATTTAAAGACAGCAGATAGCCGTTCGAATGCACATGTTGATGTACATTATGATATAAAATTAGAAGTTAAAATTAAAGGTCTTTTTTCGGATTTTGAGTTACAAGTTCCAATAATAATTGGTACTGATTCAGCAGAACATTCAAGTTATGTTGATACGACAAATGCATCAACAATATCAATGGATTTTAATGCAATAGATATGATTGACTCAGACGATCATGATGATGACATTGCTTTACTATCTGATGTATTAATGTATTCTAAAGGTGCAGGTTCTGACTGATACAAAATAACAAATAATTTTATTAAACTTAAATATCTGAATAATAAAACATTGTATTGACGAGCCTTTTCTTTATGCTTTTTGTGGTTTTTGATCAGATTGTGATACATATTTAATCATTTTCTGTAATATCTTATGGATATATTATATTCGTATTTGTCTTTGCATAAATAATGAATAAAATTTTTATTTCATTTTTCTTTTATTTATTATACTGTACTTATGACATACACAAAAATAGTGATGAAAGCACTTCAATATCGTGATAAAAGGTTGAGAAAACTCTTTCTCTATATGCACTGATAGTAAAAATAGTGCCCTATATATTTCTAATGTTTCATCATTCTTCAATTGAAAATTATAAAAAAGGAAATTCCAAGTAGAATGCTTATATAACTCATAAATGATAAAATCTAAATATCTTAGTCGTACGAGAATTTTGTTGATCCTCAACTACCAGTTTGAATGTATACCTGATAATTGAGAATTCACCGTAAACACTTCAGAGAGTAGATTTATTTTTAAAAAAAAGTTGATTGAAAGCCTTGAAAAAAACCTGTAAAATATGATTCGATGCGTCTTCATCTTCTGTTTGTAAAGGTGAAAGCTGTAACTGTCTATCTTAATTCTATCAAAAGTTATACAAAATGTATCCATCTGTCTTTTTTTCTTCGAAATGAGCTCGAGTATTATCATGACATATCATGACAAATAGTTTGTATCGAAATTTTATTATTTTGATATTATTTGAAAAATAATAAAATATAAGAAAAATGTTAAGCATTATTTATACTATCAGCAAGTATAGAGAGAACGTTTTCTCAATCTTTCTAAACTGTATAGAAGTGGCTCCACTAGTATCTTTGGATGCGCTCTAAGTATATATATTAAAGGGACAATTTAATTACAAGAGAACATGAAGATTGACATTTGATGTTAACTAATACAGATAATAATTATAACCCATAGTGATAATGAAGAGAGAAAGCATCAGTTTTCTCACCACGTCATACATTCAGTATATAATCGATTTCTCAAGTTGTGCCAGTGCCATATGCCTTCTGGTGAACGATAATATCGAACAGTACACTACCAAACAGAATTAATTTCTATTCTTTTATTATTAGAATTGATCATTCAACTAAGTTTCAGAATTAAGTATTCAGGAAACAGGATGATTTGATTGGAATCAATTGAAAAGATGAGAGAATATTATCATATCAAGCAGAAAAACTGTAAAAATTAATAAAAAATCGAATGTCATGTTGGAGATTGGAAAGTCTTCGAACTTTTTCAGTTTTGTCCTGTCAGAACTAATAACGGGTGGCTCAGATTAAATGGATCTCTCAGTATTTTGACTATAACTTGTTTTCTGTTCGGTCTTTAGAGCTAATTGTTTTTCCAAAATATGCGCCGTCAAATTTTCTGTAAAATCATAATCAAACTTATTTGCGTAGAAAGTTAAGGAAAAACGTTAAACGAAGATTATCCGACACATTAAAAGTACCCAACATTCAAAGTTAACCGGTGTTTGTATCTCTTTTTTTTGTATCGTTAAGTACGTCTATTTGAAAAGCAAAGTATACCATAAGACGCAGCGTGAAAAGTTCTATAAGTTACATTGAATACCTTATTTTATACATGCACTCTTTGTTTTCAAAATGGATGAAATTCTGTG